GATCTCCCCAAAACCCCAAAACCCCAAAACCCCTGTTACCAGATTCTTAATTGATTATTTAGTGTTTACATGATGAAGGCATTATTAGTACATAAATGTAAAAGGACAGAGAATGCGACTATTAAGGTTAGGGTAAAGAACAAGTACGTTACCTGACAAGATTTTAAAGCTATTTCTATGGGTTTTAAGGCTGATATTGAGGGGTTTTAGAGACAGACAAGGGAAAATTAGAAAAGAAGGTAGTCAGGAAGTGGCGAGAGAGAGGAAAGAAGGAGTCTGAGGTAAGTTTGAATGTGTTTTGAGGGTTTAGAGCGATATTTTTGGGTAGGGTTGGAGATGGAATTTGGGTGATTTTTGATCGGTATTAGTTTCTTAATTTTATATTTTATGATTTTTAGGGCTTATAAGTCGGGTTCGAAGTCATGCCAGAAACCTAGAAATCTCAATGAACAATGTAAAACCGCATACAAAAGGAAGGATCAAATACATATCTCCATACACAAAATCATACCTCAAGCCTGATAAAAAGGAGATTATTGACTTTGCTGATCGTCCAGATTTTGAATCACAGATTTTTATGCCTAAAAATCCATACAAAATTTCTTCTCAACAAACTCCTGTTCTGACTAGAACAAGCTCTAGGCCTTGCTTGCAAGGCCTGAATGGATACTCAAGGTCAAGGAGTACTTCTCGGATTCCACAGAAGAATCTTCTGGGGGAAGTCCTCCAGAAAGAGTCTGCTCTGGATGCCTCTCCTCATGTTTGTACTAAATCCAGAGATTATCTTAATGAAAAATACAGGCCATCCAAAGCATGCAAACATCTTCAAGAGGTACACCCGAGTTTAGGCTTTTGCTTCTTCATAAGCTACATTTTCAGCTGTAGAGAGTGAGACTTTATTCTAGAGTGATGCCATAGAGTTTTTTGCCTTCAACTTTTATACTTTAGGGCGAACCAAACACTAAATCTAATGAAGCAAGGATACCAATAAATCCAGTTGCTCAGTTTACTTCAAATAAAATTTTCAGAAATAAGAGAGACCAAGAGTTGAATAATGATCAGATATTTCTTCCTCGGAAGCATAAGCTGATGGATTATATCCTGAATAGGCCAAGGTATTTTACATCTGACATTCATAGGCCTCAAGCCCAGCTAGGAGGAGCTTATCATAACTATGAAAATAGACATACTTCTTCAGGAAGAGGACTAAAGAATAAAAGAAGTTTACAGCTCAGGCAGTCATATTTTCAGAAAACACAGAAGATTTATGTATCTCGAAAGAGCTACTCTGGTGCTCAAGAGATTATCCAAAAACCTAGCAAAGTGATCTTTAGTAACCAGGCCTTGCAAGGAAGGGAATATGGCTCTCCCATACTTGATAAGTCTTCATTACTACAATGCTGTGACTGTAAGTCTGAGATTTCATATCTAGATTCAACAGATAATACTGAATTTACCTACAATTTCCGGAAAAAATCTGTGAATTCTTCGATAACTTTGAAAAAGAAGCCGAATATTACTTCTAACACATGCATGAAAAAGGGTGAAGAGTCTATCCAGCCTAGCAAGGTTAGCTCTCTGAAGGACCCTCCGAAGAGCACGGCTGATCCTTCTTGTAGAATTGATATTAAATTCCTAAGAACAGTAAGTAAATTGTACTGGCAGTTCTGAAATAGTCTAGAATGGGGAAATACCCTTGAAATTGGAACTATTCAAATCAAAAAGACCTTCGTATTCTTCCTTACAGAAGTTGAAGGCAAAGTTGAATCCTCTGATATGTGCACAGAAAGAGCAAGAGCAATCTCTAGACTGTGGTTTGACTATTAAAAATGTATGGGCGCTTTTTGATGGAATTAATTCTACCAAACCAAGTTCCTCTTCTGGCATTTAGGATTTTAGCAGCTGCTTCAAAGGGAGATATTTCATGTTTCCTGGTCTTGACAATCCAGATATGCGAATTATAAGGCTTTTATTGCTACTGAAGTTGACAAATAATTCATCAGAATTTCATTTGCCCCTAAATCCTAGTTAATCTAAAATTATAGAAAATACTTAATGAAGCTAAGATTTTACTGAAGAAGCCTGAGAAATTCAAAGTAAGGCATAGCAAATTTAGAAACTTAAAGTAAGATTGTTTGGTCATATTTAGGAGTCATAGTGGTGTCAATAAAAGTGTGGAGAATCAGCCCGCAAAAAGACTTAATCTTGACCTGGATTTATAGGTCATTCTAAATTTCAGCTTTCAATGCTAAAAAGAAGTTTACCGACATCTCTTTAAAAGGCGATCTCTTAAGTTGATGTTTATTCTTACGATACATTTTTATTCATTAAGTCAACAACAAAGTAATTATCTGGGGTTTTGGGGTTTTGGGGTTTTGGGGTTTTGGGG